GAATGCTGTGCAATAAAGATGTTATCATATCTATCATATGTCAGAACATATCAGAGACGGGAGTTATTACCTTGTCATTACTGATGCCATCACAGGCTGAAGTAACAGTAGATTGGCCTGACTTTCCTTCCTTCCATGACTAGGGGCGATGGGGTACCCGAGTGGTTAAAGCATTCACTTGTGACGCTGAAGACCAGGGTTCGATTCCCACATGGGGACAATGTGTGAAGACCCTTTCTAGTGTACCCTGCCCTGATATTGCTGGAAAATTGCTAAAAGCGGTCTAAAACCATACTCACTCTCTCCTTCCATGACTTTCAGTAACACCTTCTCTGTTGCACACCCTGGTGTCAACCTGTTAGTTGTGCTGAAGGGGTCGTTGTCGGCACGGGTACTACAGATATGTACCCCAGGTACGTTTCTGTATACAGAAACGTATCCAGGCCATAATAAGAATACAGAAACGTACCCTAGGACGATTCCATTCCCATTGTGTCGTATTCTTGACCGGAACTGTCATACTGTTGTATTAGATACATTTGATTGCGTTATGTAAGTAATGAAAATACACAGTAACGGATATTTCGCGATGCACATGAATACCACACGGAATCAGTTGAACAGGAACAACTACATACGGTTTCGGTTTTGGATTGCGGAATATGGACTCGTCTGCCGTTAAGGGTACGGGGTACGTTTCTGTATTTTGACTTTGTTAAGGGTACATGTCTGTATACAGAAACGTACCTGGGGTACGTATCTGTAGTACCTGTGCCGACAACGACCCCTTCAGCATTAGTTGTTGACTGAAATTCAGGATTAATAAACTTCCAGTTAACAAAGATGGCAAAGGATGGCTATTCATGACAGGAAATGTATAATCTGTGATATAAACCGATTTGAACCTGTCCCTATTTTCTAAATGGGAAAAACATTTTACTCTGACAAAATCTCAGTTTTTCATTTGACAGTAATGACAATTTTCATTTGCTGCAACGCAGGTTTATTTTTCTGCCAAAGTTGATATGTACTGAACTATTGAAAACCCTGCATCACATTTTTGCCCAGTTTACCAGAACGCAGAAGAAATATTGCAATACATATTGTTTGGAAAGGATAATGCTGTATACTGATGTACCAGCAAAACCTTGGAATCCAATTAGTCTACTGGTCACAGCATGGGCCATGAAAACATGGTTCGATTCTCCAAGTATAATCAAATTGTGAGGTCCATTATTATTATTTTTCATTGACAACACCATCTTGGTATTTAAGAAACAAATGTATAGTCATTGTTGTACAAAACATGGAAACATAGAGACTTGAGGCCCATTCTTACTGATACAACTGAAAGTTTGAACAAGCAGCGTAAAAACCCACCACACCAATGAATAAGACATAATTGTTGATAGATGAAATTGCAAAAATATATTGTCACTGTCTTTAAGTCTTAAACCTCCTGGAAATTGAAACGGTCATGCCAGTTATGTTCACAATCCATCTTTCTGATCACTGAATCCAGGTGTTGGTGCGAGAAATACAGCGTAATAAATCACAGAAATACGAGCGTGTGATTCAACATGTTCATTTTGACTGGTACCTCATGCCAGTGTACAATTACATCAAATCATAAAAAAAAAATTGAAAAAAGGTCACAGACCTTTTTTATGAATAATTTCTTCTTGTAGCATATGGTCGTGATTTGTTTGTGCAAATTTTGAAAACTGATACCCAGGGGCTTGTTGATGGTTTAATAATTGAAGACGATTTGTCTGTTAACTCGAAGTGTACACCTCCTACAGTGTCAATTTATAAATGATAAATGCTCGACTTGATTCCTGAGTCCTAGGCTTTCATTATTCCACACAGCAGATGTAAACGATCAGCGAGCAGTCATTTATTGCTGAACTCAGGGGTGTCTGATGGGTGGCTAGGAACCGCAAGTGAGTTTTATAGCTTTCACTTGTCTAAGGAGATTGAAAACAAGTCTTGGATATAGCTGCTGTTGAGCTGGAGTCGGACATTTCATGTTGTTGATAACATCGCAGATAACAGTCAAATATGCTGTAATACAAGTTAGGTGAAATTAGCAGGGCAATGAAAGTATCACTCACAATAAAGCACAGCCATGGAAACTGGGTTTCCCCTTCTGGAGTTTTTCATGATATCTAATTCTGAGTTTTAGTTCCTTTAGCTTGAACAAATTTGTTTTAAATTGGTGATAACATTGGAGATAAGGTTGAAACGTGAGTCTCATCATTTTCAGTTGAATTATTGCAAGTTAACAGGACAGTGAACATAGCTAGTTGGAGAAAGATGTTTTGGTAAAATTAAGTGAGGAGTTAAGTCAGACAAACATCAAACATAATTATTTTCATAATTTGTGAAGAACTGTCTTGTTTTGGTTGAAAAAAAGATTTGTGGTGAGATGAGAGTTTGTGTTCATAGAGTCATCATTTACTTCATCTTGACTGTTGCCAATCAGTCAATGTTTATTTACAGTACTGGAAAGGCTATAGGCCTATAGTACCTTTCTACATACAGTAGCAGAGGGTGCAATAGATATATATATATATGTATCGTAAATAATATCACATCTGTAATGCAGAGGATCTGAGATACATTGCATGTTATCTATTCATTGCAAGATACTTTGTGATTGAACCCATGGAGATTTGGGTTAGAATTAATCTTCAGTAACCCATGCTTGTCGTAAGAGGCAACTAACTGGATCAGGTGGTCAGGCTAGCTGACTTGGTTGACACATGTCATCATATCCCATTTGCGTGGATCGATGCTCATGTTGTTGATCACTGGGTTGTCTGGTCCAGACTTGATTATTTACAGACAGCCGCCACATAGCTGGAATATTGCTGTGTGCGGCTTTAATTAAACAACAACCAACCAACTTTTGGATGGATCATGAGTCATGATCATGTTTTTCTTCACCATTGTGGTTCACATGCTAAGTTACCAAGTGTACTTTGCTGGCAGTTTTGTTAGGGTCCTCTCAAAGGGATAAATAAGACGCTGAAACTATTCAATGTTCAGACAGTATGGTTTTATGTGGTTTTCAGCAATATTCCAGTAATATCACAGCAGGGGACACCAGAAATGGGCTTCACACATTGCACCCCTGTAGGGAATCGAACCCGGGTCTTTGGTGTGGCAAGCTAATGCTTTAACCTCTAGGCTACCCCACCGCATTTTGAAAACTCACAGAAGACACGTGAAACCTTTTCACAAAATCGTCATTGATTTCAAGCTATCTGCATGCTTGTGTCATCACAAGAGTGAATTCGTAAAACATGTTTTCAGGATATTTCCACACTTCTATCAAGACCCGAAGATATAGTCTGTACCCAGAGTATATTTTGAAGAATGAAAATGATTCCACAAAGAACTAAAAAAATTCACAAACTGACTGTTCATCCTTCACATCACACAACTGCAATATGGTTGTCATGCCTTGTTCTTCAAATAAAAAAATATTTTACTTAATTGAATATAACACTAACATGAGCCTAATTTCTCCTGTAAGACCATAAAACTGTGAAGGTTTATTCTTTGGAAAAAAATCCATGTAAAACCTCACAGTTATACAGCTTTTAGGGTGTCTTTTATGATCTGTCATAAACTGAAGAATCTCTCTGATGGTTCTGATGTGAAACACCATGAGCATGTGGGATAACTTACGCAAGAGATTTTGTACATACATCTTTTGAACTTTGTAGTTCATATCAGAAAATCAGTCCAAGATATTGGAAACAGAGAAAGTTCATGAGATATGATAAATAAATGTTGCTCTTCCATATTCCAGCTCCTGCTTTCTGGAAGTTTTCTTGCACCATTCTCAACTGAGTTCTTTGACAGTATAAAAGATTACTTTGCCATCAGCAAAAGTACTTTTAAAGTTAAGTCAAGCAAAGGGTTTTAAGTTCAGACTTAGTTAGGACCCACTGTCTGTGGTGGCCTAAACACATATGAAGACGGACTGTCTGTGGTCACCTCATGGGAAGACGGACTGTCTGTGGTGACCTCATGGGAAGACGGACTGTCTGTGGTGGCCTAAACACATATGAAGACGGACTGTCTGTGGTGACCTCATGGGAAGACGGACTGTCTGTGGTGACCATGGGAAGGCGGACTGTCTGTGGTGGCCTAAACACATGAAGACGGACTGTCTGTGGTCACCTCATGGGAAGACGGACTGTCTGTGGTGACCATGGGAAGACAGACTGTCTGTGGTCACCTCATGGCAAGACGGACTGTCTGTGGTGACCACATGGAAATATGGACTGTCTGTGGTTACCTCTTGGGAAGATGGACTGTCTGTGGTTACTTCTTGGGAAGATGGACGACTGTGTGGTGACCTCATGGGAAGACAGGTTGCCTATGGTGACCTCTTGGGAAGATGGACTGTCTGGTGACCACATAGAAACTCACACAATATATTTTGTTATGGTTATATTTTTATGCTTGGGAAGATTGTTTCTGTAAAAGCTTTTCCATGTGTAAATGGAAACTCTGCTGATATTAATAAATCAATGAAATCTGGCTTTAATGAACAATCAGGTCATCATAAAATAATGCAATACAGTGTGTTGGGGAACTTAAGTTCCACCATCCATTGAACAAAGGGTACACATGTATGCATTCCTTTGTATGCACAGAATCCAAACCACATTTAATGCAGACAATATTGTCGTGTCAAACAAAAAAGTGAATACTTTCTTCATCATCCAGTGTAATGTGTAAGCATTTTTTAAAAATTGGGTTAATAATTCTATCGCATTCAATAAAAATATTGCAGCATACAGTAATGCAGAGGGACCTGGTTGTTTGGCTGTGTCGTGAGACAACAGGGTTACAAAGTGTCCACACTCTCCCAGCTCCCTGTGTTGCCCAGAGCAGGAGGAAGGCATGGGAAAGTCTCATGTTCTCATGCCTGGCCTGTCCATATGCCCATGTATATTGTAGTAGGTTTTGGTTTGTTGCAGGAAAATCCCATGGTGATTAATGAACTGCGGGATGATGTCAGGACAGAGGTTGCCAAGTTCGGGGAGGTCAAGAAAGTCACCGTGTACGATGTGAGTAGACCAAGTAGACTGTAATGCTATGTCTGTTGAACTTTTTTCCATGAACATTGAGATGCTAGACAGAAGCTACAGTTTGGGAAAATGTCTGTTGGGAGATTAAATGTTATGATACAAGTAAATATTATAAAGCATCAGATGTTTTAATTGAACGAAGGGAGGTTTACACTGCAGTCAACTAAATGTTTAAAGGTTCTTGAGAGGCATTTAGAAGTTGGTGTTCAAGTAAAATGCAAGTATTATGGATGACAACTTCTTCTTTATTGTAAAGACTGACTGACTGAGTTTGGTTTTATGCCGCTTTTAGCAATATTCCAGCAACATCACGGCGGGGGACACCAGAAATGGGCTTCACGTTGTACCCATGTATTGTGACAAGCCAACGCTTTAACCATTAGGCTACCCCACCGCCCCCTTTATTGTAAAGAACAATAAAGGAAGTTGTCATCCATAATATTTGCGTTTTACTTGAATGTTTAAAGTTAAAGATTTAGGGGTCCCAGGATTCAAATACTGCAGGCTAAGACACAAGTATCCCAGGATCTCAACGTGTCTGAACACTGAATCAAAGTTCATAAACATTACGACATATTGTAACTCCATACTTTATCATTGGCTTACAAATGGCATAGTGCTATGAACGGTTTGTGGATTGGGCCCCTTGACATCTCTGGGTAGATTTGGATCTGGTGGGCCCATTGTCACAAAGTGAGGCTAGCACTGAGATGATCATTACTCCAATACAATATGTTGACATAGACATATGACAATCATCGTGCTAACATTGGACATGGTTCAGTTAAAAAAACAGCTGAGAGCTGAAGTATTCAGTCCATTTGGCATTTTTTCTGGTTTGACTGACTGACTGAGTTTGGTTTTACGCCGCTTTTAGCAATATTCCAGCAACATCACGGCAGGGGACACCAGAAATGGGCTTCACACATTGTACCCATGTGGGGATTCGAACCCGGGTCTTCGGCGTGACGAGCCAACGCTTTAACCATTAGGCTACCCCACCGCCCCTTTTCTGGTTTGATGAAGTTGTAAATAAATGAATGGTCACGGTTAGATAAGTCTGAGGATTAGATTAATAGATACGGCATATTACAAGGTGTTTGGGTATTTTTGTTTGTTTTTAATGTTGCATTCAGCAATATTTCAGCAATGTAATGGCAGTCTGCATTTGATCGAGTCTCGTACAAACAATCCAATGCTGTAATTTTGTACAAATGTTCAGGGTCCTCTTACTACAAGCATTCCATTTCAATGCACACACTATTGTCTGTTTCTGGAACATAAACCAAAGAATAACATCAAACAACCTTCAAGGAAATATCAAATATATTAGTCGAAACACGGACTCCAGATTAAGGAAGGGCAGTGGGGTAGCCTAGTGATTGAAGCGTTCGCTCATCACGCTGAAGACCCGGGTTCGACTCCCCACATGGGTACTATATGTGAAGCCCATTTCTGGTGTCCCCCACTGTGATATTGCTGAAATATTACCAAAAGTGGCGTAAGACCAAAGTCACTGACTCACTCATCAGACAGATAGAGGATCAGTCTTGGTTATCTGCTGAATCAGATACCACAAAGTGAAATGGTGATAATGATTATATGAATGGATCACTGAATGATTGAAGACTTGAAACTATTAACAACTTCAGAATTATTTTAACAGTTTTTCAGGTCCCTGTTGCACAATACAATCTTAGCACAAAGACGGTCGTAAGCTTATGTTAAAGGATGAGAGTTACGATCTCCTTAGTACTAAGATCGCTTTGTGAAATGATGCCCAGGGCCTAGATTTTGAAGCTCTCTTATCGCTAAGATAGTCATAAGTTAATGTTAATGTATGGCACTTACGACTATCTTAGCGCTAAGAGAGCTTCGAAAATCTAGGCCCAGGGCTTCTTCTTGACTCAAGGTGCATTGGGGTAGCCTAGAGGTTAAAGTGTTTGCTCATCATGCTGAAGACCTGGGTTTCATTCCCCACATGGGTACAATGTGTGAAGCCCATTTCTGGTGTCCCCTACAGTCATATTGCTGGAATATTGCTAAAAGCGGCGCGTAAAACTGAACTTACTCACTCTTTTGACTCTTCTGCCTTATATCTGGAAATAGCCCTTTAAATGAGTTTACAAACGATAAAAATGTTGTCATCTGTTAAAAGGTTTCGTGTCTTCGCGTTCTTTAATACTTCTAGATGCCTATGAAAGACTTCACCAATGTTTTCAATTTAACTTGTCTGTGTCAGTACTGCATAAACATATAAACACAGTTACCATTCCGCACATCAAAAAAATTTGTAAACACTGGCGTTGTCAGTGGCACTTTAATGTAGCCACAGTAGGACAATTACTGCTGTCATAATGGCCAATTTATTCACTTTTTTGTTGCATTGTAACCATATGGCCTGTCGTAATTGATGCACCCGGTGGGTTTCAGACGTGTGGCTTACCTCACCACTGATCATGTTTGAAGCTTAGTTAGGGGCCTTTATTTGAATGGTAATGTCACGCCATGAAAAGAAGTGCAGGTCAGACGTGACTGTAAGTTGATATTGGGTGACTGTAGATTGGGCTGGGCTGGTGATGTGTGTGGGTTGCTATATCATGTGAACACACCAAGGGGTTTGACATCTGAACAGAACACATCCTGGAGTTCCTTGGCGTCTTGTTAACAGTGTTTATGAGATTCGACTTCATCAAGAATTTCTATTTCAATTATCTTGGAAGGGAATGTGAACCATTTAGCTAATGATGCTTCCCAGTTTGATTCGTATTAATTTTGGGGTTTTTTGTGTGTATTATTAACCTGACTTCAAACCTGTCAGTTTTGATATTTGGAAACTTTGTTTTCATAGATTTCTGTTGTGTTTCTTTGTAAATAGTGTAGTTTCAGCTAAAATAAACTATGCGATTATTTCTGAGAACATTTAATAAATTTGATGTATGCCTATTGCTAACTGAAGTAATTTCGTACATTTTAATGCATGGTTCAGTGTTTGACAGTTGCATGCATGGTACATTGTTTGACAGTTTTACAGTTTTGTGCATGGAACATTGTGTGTTTACAATTGCATGCATGGTGCAGTGTGTGTTTACATTTGCATGCATGGTACAGTGTTTGACAGTTTTATGTATGGAACATTGTGTGTATACAATTGCATGCATGGTACAGTGTGTGTTTACAATTGCATTCATGGTACATTGTGTGTTTACAATTGCATGCATGGTACACTGTGTGTTTACAATTGCATGCATGGTACATTGTGTGTTTACAATTGCATGCATGGTACATTGTGTGACAGTTTTACAATTGCATGCATGGTACAGTGTGTGTTTACAATTGCATGCATGGTACAGTGTGTTTACAATTGCATGTATGGTACATTGTGTGTTTACAATTGCATGCATGGTACACTGTGTGTTTACAATTGCATGCATGGTACACTGTGTGTTTACAATTGCATGCATGGTACATTGTGTGTTTACAATTGCATGCATGGTACATTGTGTGTTTACAATTGCATGCATGGTACATTGTGTGTTACAACAATTGCATGGTACATGGTACAATTGCATGCATGGTACATTGTGTGTTTACAATTGCATGCATGGTACATTGCGTGACAGTTTTACAATTGCATGCATGGTACAGTGTGTGTTTACAATTGCATGCATGGTACAGTGTGTGTTTACAATTGCATGTATGGTACATTGTGTGTTTACAATTGCATGCATGACAAAAGGTATTACAGATTTGCATTTGTGGAATGGTTTCTCTGGTATTCAGGATAACCTTAACTGAGTGACTGTAATATTGGGTACAATATGGAATACTGTTATGGTTGTGATTGTTTCAGCGAAACACTGACGGAGTGATCACTGTGAGGTACAAGGAGGCAGAGGAGGCAGATAAGTGTATCGCTGGACTAAATGGCCGCTGGTTTGCCCAGCAAAGAATCATTGCAAGTGCCTGGGATGGAGTCACAAAGTATGAAGTCGAGGAAACGGAAGAAGAAAGGATTGCAAGAATAAAAAAGTGGGAAGGTTTCTTAGAGAAAGGTTCTTCTGCCAGCTCTTCCGGGGCTTCTTCCTCAGTCACATCAGATTCTGCAGCTGCATCAGCAGTTGCCATGGATACATCACCAGTCTCTGCTGTGACATCATCAGTTCCTGCCGTTACATCATCAGTTCCTGCTGCAACATCACCAGTTTCTGCTGTCCCAACATCAGAATCTGTGGAAAAGTCTGAGTCTGTAGCAGAGACCACTACTGAAGACAGTGAGGAGAATGTTGAGGATGCAGGGGGTGAGGGAAACATTGAGGGTGGGGGCAATAAGAAGGAAAAGGAGGAGGTTAAGGAGGCAAAGAAGGATGAAGGAGAAATAAAGGAGACAGAATGCGACACTGTGAAGACCAGTAGCTGATAGATACTGGAGGACTTCTGGAATGAAAATTATGATCTACGGTACTAAATGGAATGATAAATCTGAACATATTGTTATGTTTGACTTGTTACAGTGTACAAACTATGATATTTGCCACTGGTAAATAGGATGTATTTTTAGGTAAACCACAATCTCCCAGGCAGTTGTTGTGGCGACTCCTCACCTGTGTGGGCTATATTTGTGAATGGTTATCCTTGAGGAACTGAGGAACAGTCCAACATTAGACTTGGAGAAATCACATAATCAGCCATAACAGCAATTTCAATTGATTTAAAATTATGAATACTTAACAATGACTACTAGTCCAACAAATGCTTTCCTAGGCTGTTGTCCATTAGCCTAGAATCACTTAATTGCCATTACTTTCCAGATGTAAAATTCAGGGGTGGAAATAACTTTAAAATTGCTAGTGTACTCCGGAACAGTGGCACATGTAAAATCACTTGCCCTGATAATTTTTCCACTGTACCGTCTGTTTTCTTGTTGATTTTTACAAATAAACGACATAATTAACATTGGAAAGTGAACTGGACACCGGTACAGTGTGATATACAAATTTGCTTGCCCGACAGAAAAAAACATTGGACTTGGGACGTTGGGCAATGGGATATTTCCACCCCTGTAAATCCCCATTGTTTTGTCCATTGATTGTCAGCCATCCTGAACGAGCTGTACAGCTAGGCCACTCACCACTTACTGTTTATACTGAGATGGAAGTCTTGATCCAGAGACGGAAATAGGAAGGTCTTGCCGTTAGCCTCTCTAGAGCTTGTCTACAGGCTCTCGTGCACCAACACGACAACTGTACCACCATGTGCTGACCTGGCACACATTGCTTCTTGTACATACCTACTTGTACAAAACAAAATTGTATGTACCACAAGCTGTTAACTTGACGTAGTTGCTTCCCACACCCACTATAACCTTGCAGACGCCAATATGCAAATAATCATTCATGATATGTGTGTGACAGTGTGTTTCTAATCATGTGCAGCCAAGGCTTTCTTACTTCAGCTGAAGTTACAGAACGGTTACAGAGCCTCATTGTAAAATACTAAGTATTCAAGACATGAATGGCAGTCCAAACTTTATTGGCCAGTAATATGCCCAACTTACGTCTAGACATCTAAGAGTATCATCTTTACTGCAAGAGTTAGAACTACTGTTTGGTTTGAATTGATTGGAGTTGGTGAGTATAGTTTTATGCCGCTTTTAACAATATTCCAGCAATATCACGGCAGGGGACACCCGACATGGGCTTCACACATTGAACCCATATAGGGAATCGAACCCAGGTCTTCAGCGTGACCAGCGGACGCGTGAACCACTAGGCTACCCCACAGAGCAGATTGGAAGGAATTGAAAGTAGTTATGTCTATAGATCAGCAGTGTACTGTATTGAGATTGTGGGGGTTTGTATGTATGTTCAGTAGTGAAGTAGATGTAAATACAATTTTTGTATTGACTTTCATAATTTCATAGACATTTAATGTGTGAATATTATGAAATTATTGCATCCAGAATCAATTGTAAAATATTTTCGGAACATTCGATATACAACTTTTTCTATTTGGGGACTGGTCATATATTGTGAGCGGATGGTCATGAAAACATGCCAGAGAAAGATGGGGTCAACAAGGTTATCACATCTATAAGCAGGGAACCATGCAAAATGATAGTTGTATGATGATGATAATTGGAGATTTTACTTACGCTTTCTGAGATGAGGCCTATTTTGCACATTTAGTGTTTGATCGAAAGAAGGCTGATTATGACCAAACGATAGAAGATAGTTGCAGTTTAAACATTCTTTTTATACTTGTTATTTAATATAGGGGGAGTTATCAAAATGTTGTATGAAATATGAAATGGCATGTGTCACCTCCTTTCTCTTATAATAAATCACCCGTCCCTTATCTCAGGACACTGAGAGGTTTGTTGTTTATTTTTTGTGAGCTTCCACTCAGGCACCAGTGATATAGGTGGCCACTGGTTCACTACAGACCACTCCCATGCTTGTTGTAAGAGGCGACTAAAGGGATTGGGTGTTCAGGTTTGCTGACATGGTTGACACATGTCACCAAAATACCAACTGCGATATTGATGCTCATGCTGTTGATCACTGGGTTGTCTAGTTCAGACTCAATTATTTACAGACCGCTGCCATATAGCTGGAATGATATTTATTTATTTTTTGTTTGTTTGTTTTTTATTTTTAGTGGGGGTGGGGTGTTTAATATTTTATCGCTGAATCCCTGTTATAGGTGAGGACAAGGAGGCAGGGAAATCCTTGCCCTCTTCGAGAAAAAGACATAAGGGGGGATTAAGGTTTTTCAACAAGGTAAAACTGTCACACACACATGCATACAAAAAGTACAGTATAAACATGCAATACCAAAGATTCACATGAACACTGATAATACATTGCTGGAATATTGCTGAGAACTGTGTTAAACTACAAAAACAAACTACAGACCACTGTTAATCCCACTCATGGGCACAGACAGTGTGTGAAGTCCCATGCTTGTACAGTAATACAATCATTACAAATAACACTCAATTACAGAGAACCTTTAGCAGAAGTTCAAGGCATAAATGAATGTATATCCAATGATAAATCATATCACTATATTCCCTGATAATTTAGTCTCCCAAAATATGCTGATTCATATTTTGCACAAAGGCATGTATGACAATGTATGTGTGTAACTTGTTCAAATGACAGCTGTAGTATTGTACAGCTTCAAAATGATTACCTGCAAGTTTGTTTTGTAATGGTGTTGGGAAAATGGTATGCAGTGATGGACACATCTAAATGGTGAATGTACGTAACAGGGGTGACTAGGTTAAAGAAGTACATCATCTAACTTCAAGACCTTCCTGTGTGTCAAACATTAGTATGTATACTAATGAAAACAAGTATATTATGTTAAGTATACATATTTTGTTGAAGTATATTCCTATTGTATTAGGAATTATAATTGTATTAGGATATTGTACTTAGTTTTTTAAATTTTTGTCTGACAAGAAATATACATTGGCAAGGCTGCAGTTTACTGGGCTCTTCTAATGGCACATGTTGCTCTTCGTGCTTCTCTTATCTTGTGTGCTCAAGGTTCGATTTAAGTATTTAGAACTTGCACTGGTGCAACCTGGAACTGCTGAATGCCACCTCATATTTATACCAACTTGTTAACATTTATCAACTTTGATAATTTATCCAGAAAATAATAATAAGAAGAACTTGGTTAAAGTTTTAAATCATCAATACCAAAACTCTAGCATTAAGCAGGTGCAACCTGTTTTTGTCAGGTGCAACAAGGTTATTACCCAAGGTTGCACTGTGTGCATGTACCTGTAAGTTTCATTTCCTTTAATAGAAGCCTGGAGCCTTTTCAGTCCAATAGTTTGGTTGTGTAGGGTTACCATATGGTACCCCCATCTATATCCTTTGCACTTGGATTCCGATCAAGCACCTGTTTATAATCATTAGGGTTATAGTTTGGCATGAAATGCATGTGGACCCGTTTTTTTGTAAATATCTCTTCATCCAATGACCCAATCGATCTCAAACTGTGCAAGTGGATGTTTTGTCAGACAACCTAATCACATTGTAAATCACCGATTTTATGCATTTGTATTAAAGAATCTGTCTATGTAACTGTCAACAAAATAAACAGCAGAACGCAGACAGCTTGCAGAGGGAGGGAGCCAATGACCTGTAACAGCGGCAGTGTTGGGTCATAAAGGTCAATGCACGTGCAGTTCATGATAGTTACCTGTGCACTGCACAGTGATAGACCGTTTGGATCATTCACATTGACTACTTCTAACTCTCATCATGAAAGCTTATTCAGATGATGCTAAACGTTTAATTAGAAATGTGTTGAATTGGTTTTAAAAAGAGAGCAAACGTAGCAAACCGATTTATAAGGTGTCGGATTACATGTACAAAAAGGTAGGCATCCAAAGTTAGATTCTTTTGACATCAGGGTCATCAGAGATGTCATTTGCTGGCTATTTGCAAAATTTAAAGATTTTAACCTACAGAATAATTCTCACTAATGGGTTTTGTGGTTAATGTTGAACAACTCAGAGAAACAAACTCCGTATGATGGTCAACAGTTGGCAGCCACTTTACCCTATTCACGACCTGTGACACCTCTTCATACCTGTCACGTGCATAGCTGACCTACATTGACGAACGTTGACCTTTATGACCCAACACTGCCGCTGTTACAGGTCATTGGCTCCCTCCCTCTGCAAGCTGTCTGCTGTTTATTTTGTTGACAGTTACATAGACAGATTCTTTAATACAAATGCATAAAATCGGTGATTTACAATGTGATTAGGTTGTCTGACAAAACATCCACTTGCACAGTTTGAGATCGATTGGGTCATTGGATGAAGAGATATTTACAAAAAAACGGGTCCACGTGCATTTCATGCCTACCTATAGGTCCCATTCCACTCAAAAAATACTTCAGGGCCTAGATTTTCGAAGCTCTCTTAGCGCTAAGATGGTCGTAAGTGCCATACATTAGCATTAACTTACGACTATCTTAGCTCTAAGAGAGCTTCGAAAATCTAGGCCCAGGATTCTTAGGGTTGGGTGTTTCTTGCCAGTCAAATTTACAGTACTTGAGAGTTAGGAGCCTTGTTGGGTTAGTTTTGAGTTAGGCATGGATTAGTTATCCCATCACCTTTTGGAATTAAATGTAACATAATTTGAAAATCATCTGTACAATTTTCATGAAGTTGTGAGTTTTACAGATCGAAATGGGTAAGCCCATCAAGGTAAATCACCCATAGATCACAATGTAAATGATGACTCATTGTTCATGATAGATCCTATTGTTAAGTGTTGGCTAATTTGATCAACTAGTAAGCTACGATTAGCTTTGTGAGTTTGGTGCTCTATTGAAATCCAAAACACTGCACTCGGCGGAGTGCTGTTTGCCTTGTATTTTTTCAATCATGTCATCACAGTGAAATTAGGGGAATGTTTAATTTAAAATGTTTATAGCCTAAGGTTAAAATTTTGTTATGGACGATTGGCATAAAAATAATCTTGTTTATGTCCAATTCTTCTGTACTTTCTCTACATTTCTGTCTTTAAAATTTATATATTTTGTTACATTTTCTGTTGGTCATGTGAACAGGGTCAACTGGGTAACGAACTATCTGAAACTATTGTGTCATACTTCATGCTGGGTGTGGAGTTGAATAGTTGCCATGGGCAACGCTACAGAAACATGACTTGATGCTGTCATGGTTATAAGTGATTTATTTTCATCCTATCCATCTACTGTTAATATTAACACAGATTCCTAATTTGATGATGTTTTTGAACGTAGTGTACATTTTTCACTTTGAATAATAAATTGTTCCAAAGTTTTCTTGTGTTTTATTTTTTCAAACATGTTAGGTTTTACAGAAAATTACCATGCAAGTCCTAAAAAG